AAGCTCGCCATTGCCGACGATAGGATGTGTCTAAGTCGTAGATCAAATATTTTAGGCTTGGAAATTTGGAGCCCGACTTTGGCCTAAGCCATGAACAATGTAAATAAATATAAGTAATGTCTTAAAATTACTTGACATGTAGTTGTATCGTTTATTTGAGTAAAGCTTAAGAATGTACTTTATGGCAGTGATCAATTATAAAGTCGGAGAACCGTACACATAGTATGTAGAGACACTAGACGGTGACGATTGCATGTCACACACTATTCATAGCTGTATGATTGTGATTTGCTAAACGGAAATTGAGATAGTTCCTACGGCAACGTAGAAGGAGAACTTACCATCCGCTGCTTGTTCCCTGTCCTTATCATAAGTCTACTCTTCTTCGTTGTTCCTACCAACGCCGTCTTGTTACTAAGCTGTTACTATTATATATTTTCGATTATTTGAAACCTGTTTTTTTAAATTCAGATTAGCTTAAAGCTTTTGATCACAGATATCAGTTTATTAAACCTATTATTCATCAAAACCTTACGTTAAGCGAAACCGTGAAAATATAATACTAAAACTAACAATTAAATAAGCATTGACACGAGAGAACTACACATCACAAGTCTCATAATATTAATGAATTTGAATAAGTAAGTATTTTCTGATACTCCTTATATCTATGATATAAGAACTGGTTTTTTAAAATTTTAATAAAATTGACAACTTCTGCATTAGTAACACAGAAGTTGAGAACTGTCAGTAATTACAAAAATTTGTCACACATCATAATTTAATCTAAAAATGATAACAATTTTTAACATGCTGTAACGTACGATAGTATAGGTGAGACTCTACGCTGCCTTTCCTCAAACCTCATAACGAGGGGCCCTAGGGCCAAGGAAAGGGAAGTGCGAGCAAGGAAAGAGTCTATTCGGGGTGTACACGACGAGCCTTTGAAGGGAACACACGCGCTACCTTGCCTATGATTTCGGTATCTTGAATAAAGCTCTTGAAGGAATCTGTGTTGATCATTCTCGCGAAGCACCTCATTACCAATACGTATTTTCTCTATGTAACAATGCAGTTTAACACTGTAAGTTTTTATCACAAAGATTTTTAATCTTTAGAATGCATCTTGACTGTATAATCATCAAAATCATTAAATAATACTTAATTCTTCAATACTTAAAAGGTAATTTAGAAGCGAAAGTATTTCGTGTACCAAGAACTTTAAGATGGAAAATTATATTTCTTTTTCCTACGATGCTTTCAGCTGTTAGTGTATGAATTCCATCATTGTCGCTTGAAATATTTTCTATGTGTAAGCTACTTTTCATTTTGCTGTAAGTTCTGGATATTATGTTGTTTGGATGTACTGAAAAGTTAAAATTGCCACCATACTTATCCACTCTTAAAAATAATGCATTTTTTAATAAGACTCATATTTATTGAGTAGAATTGTATATTCATTTCAAAACAGGTTCTGAACATGCAGAAATATTAGCCAAGAATGTAATAAATTTACCATGTAATCTAGATATTTATTTCTCAATAGACGTCAGATTAATCTAAGCACTGTTAGAATCTATCGAAAAAAGATTTAAAGAGCTGATTGTTTGTTATGAAAGAGTATGAAAAAATCAATGCAGAGCCTTTCCATTTATATATATATATATATTAAAACTTTCTCTTTCACTCAACGATAATTTTACTGGGCATTCATAATTTCCTGTGTCTTCTAACGTTGCGTTGTCAAAAATCAACTGTGATGTTATTATATTATATTTATACTACCTCCTTGCAACTACTTTAATTGTATTTAGAATTATCCTAGAAGTCTAATTAATTTACATACTTTGTGGTTTACAAAATGTATTAAAAATGTTATGTACAAATTATTTTGTTATTAAGACATGTTGACGTTGTAAGAATATTAAATTCCATTGAGTTCTGTGGATCTTTCCAAAAAATGTTATATGTGACTTCTCTGCTAACTTTGACGGTACATTTGTCACTTAATCTTGACCCTATAGTGATATCTTGCATATCATCCATGTTTATTATCGGGTAAGTCATACAATTATCATGTTGACTAAGTAAGACTCCTGTTTTAATTGTATGTGATAAATATTTTCGATTTACTGTGCAAAAAAAACACCCGACTGAACATTACTTATGTGTCTCGCATGATAAAACCCATTTAAGGATCCAAAAATATCCTTTCATCAAGTTTGACTTTTTAAAACTAATTACTTCTTAGACCCTTACAATCTAGTCTTCTTAACTGTTACTCTAAACTCAAAAGAAGTCGTCTGACATGGAAGAATTATGTATCCAGCACATCCAAAAGCAAATAAATAACTCCATTCTTCGTGGACATGCACAAAGGGATTTTTATAAGCTGCAAAACAATAGTAACACTTTTACATTCATTTTTAATGCAACAGTATACTGTAGTATTTCATTTTGAACAAAAAATATAAAAAAGCTGAAATTTATTATACCCTTACATCTAACGTAAACGGAAATCCAGGTAACTTTTAAATCATTGTGATTTTTGACCGCCATGCTTGTTATCTGTTTGCTTTCATCAGCACAACCATACCAGCCGGTGTCTCCAAAAACAGCTTACTCGACCCCATGTATTGCTGGGAGAAAAATAAAAATGAACATAGCCATTGCTTGTGCATGTAATGTTCAGAGATTCTCCTTCGTTCATCTGCAACCTGGTCACATTAGGATATATACGAGGCTTGTATCCATGACAGCCCATAAACTTAAAAATTAGTCCAAAGACAGATGCTTTACTTTTTTCTTTATAAGAAATACTATTGCATAAAATGTAAAAATAATGATGGCAGATAGTCCTATAATGAGAAAAGGAAAATTTTTATTATTTTTACACTTAACTACCCAAAATAAGACGAATAATTAGCTCTACCGTAAACTAAGTTCTTTAAGAAACCGTTCATGGTGTAACCATTTCCTAATTTCTCATTTAAATAGTGAAAAAAATCCCAACACTCAAAAAATGTGGCTCATCAGATTGTAAAAAAGTTTTAACTATCAATTCTATAATCATATTATTCAGTGTCAATAAATAAGAGTTTACAAAAAATATATGTTATAAGCATGGAAGAGGTAAGAAATTTTGCTTTTGGTTTTTATTAATAGTAAGTACTTCACACAAGTTCTGAAAGAAGGTTGTTAACTATAGTAAAATAAAATTTTTTTTTTAATTTGTCTTATTACACTTAGTTAACTCTACGAAAATTAATAAGAAGCAGTAACCTTATTTATGTTTACAGTTTTTTAATAAGTACTAAAATAATTTGGCAGCCTTGGATCCATTCAATTTTGGTTCATTTAAAATTTGACAAAGTTTTGTTTGCTACGTAAAGTAGCTCTTTGTTTGTAATGTGAAAATAAGAGTAATAGTTATATACTGAGATGTGAAAACGATAATCTTATACATACTTGACACTATGACAAAAAGAATGAGTAGTTTTTCCCACCGTCGGCGAGTCAGTGGGTCCTTCCGTCGTTGAAAGCTCGACATTGCTGACGATAGGATGTGTCTAAGTCGTAGGTCAAATATTTTAGGCTTGGAAAGTTGAAGCCCGACTTTGGCCTAAACCATGAAGAATGTCAATAAATGTAAGGAATGTCTAGAAATTACTTGACGTGTAGTTGTATTGTTTATGTGTGTAAAGCCTATGAATGCACTTTAGGACTGTGATTAATCATAGAATCGGAGAACCATACCCAAAATTTGTAGAGACACTAAACAATAAATATTGCTTGTCACCCACTACTCATATTTGTATGATTGTGATTTGCTGAAAAAAAATTAAAATAGTTTACTCGGTAATGTAGAAGAAAAACTTACTCTCCGCTGTTTGTTTTCCGTCCTTGTCATAAGTCTACTTTTTTTTGTTGTTCCTACCAACGCCATCTTGTTACTAAGCTGTTACTATTATATATTTTCGATTATTTGAAACCTTAGCGATTGTAAATTTAAAGGGTTGAGTAAATATTGACATTCGACAGCTCAAAAAATTATTTTGAATATTTATTTAGAGGTTTTGCAATATATACCAAATATATGACGGAAGCATGAACTTTTGTTAGTTTTACGCGCAATAATAAATTGTGGTATCTTTTTGAACGTTNAAAAATATAATTAAGTACTCTAATACACAAATTGTCTATAAAAGTAATACTACGCCTGGGAGTTTAATTTTGAGACGCCTAAATTCAAAATATTGTTAATAAATTAAGAGCAAAACTAATTCTTATCAGCACATACGCATGTTTGACATTATCGTATGCAATATTTTTTGTACTACTCTGTGCTACAGTGAATTATACCCACATAAATTTATTACACTTTTCATTCGTTACAAATTCCTTATCTGATCACATGTTCTAGATATAGCAGTGTTAAGTTTACGTATATTGTCAGCACACTGTTAAAGTTTAGTTTTGCTAAAAAAAGTGTCTTTCGTGATTAAAAATCAAATAGTTTTAAAATTAAGCATGATTGCACCGTATTACATTTGTTTTTTCAAAGTTACTTCTTTCTTCTGGATTTATGTACTTGCTCTTGGAATTCTTATCGGAAAATAATGAAACATTTGCATTATGAGTTACAGTAATGGTATAATGTAGGGTAGACTTGCAATTTACGGCAACGTATTAACATAGTTACGCCAGTTAAGCGGAATTGTCATATCTTCAGACAATTATGCTGTTGCTTGATTGTCTTTTTTTTTTTCCAACTGTCGTTCTTTATTAAAATTTTCATATTCATGATAAATTCTTAGAAAATGGGTTTTGATATTATTTTGTACAAGTTTTTCAATCATTTCAACCAGCATTGTGAACGACGGTCTGGATGTCGGCTCTTCCTCCCAGCAATGGAGCATAATATTATATCTTAAAAAAAAAGTAAACGAATTAATTACTTAACGGCTTTTTAAATACGAACTTACTATAAAAAATTTCATTTACGTGTCATCGGTGGCATAAGTGAACCGAGACATTCTGTATCCTCTAATTATTTTCTGATACATCACCTCAAACCTTACACCTGAATAAGGTATTTGTGCAAGACAGAAAAATTCCCAGAATACTACACCAAATGACCACACATCTGACATAGTGGAAAAGACTCCGTCTCTGATGGACTCAATGGCCATCCACCTTATGGGTAACTTCCCATCGCATTGCTTCTTATAGTTTTCGTCTTTGTACAATGTCTTGGCTAAACCGAAATCGCAGATCTTGACGATGTTGTTCTCTGCTAACAGTATATTTCTTGCAGCCAAGTCACAGTGCAGCACCTGTACAAAGAATTAGCATCATAAAACAACAATTAGGTAATAAGTAATTATAAATACGTAACCGTTAAATTTCTATATCTATGCACATGAAAAGTGCTTGCCTTTCTTTCTGAAAAAAACTTCATGCCGTTTGCCACCTGATAAGCCCATAACAAAAGATCCTCGGTGCAGAGGAACAAGAAATCTCCTTCTATGTAATCACCTTCATAATAAGAACGCAAACCTGGCTTGGAGTCTTCATCCATGAAATCATTACTGGATTCAATTGGGCCGCTGACCTTCTGAGTTTCTGAATAGTGAATGGTGTGCTTGTCGTTTGGACTGCTGTCAGACAAGGCCGTAGTTAGACTTTCATAGATCTTGTGTCTTGTTCTATAGGCCAAAAAAATTTGTTTCGTTCGTGACATTTACAATTAATAGGTTACCATAACAGGTTTTGTGTTTTGTTGGATGTATCTAACTAAATCATCTATATTGTCAGTATCATGTTCGTTATTATGCACAGTTTGTTTTATAATTCATGTAAATTCAGCTATAAAGTAAAGACATTATGTGATAGTAAGGATAAAGTTATTTTTTATGTGAAACATAATCTGTAATACGGTCAATGTTAAATGTTTTATTCAGGTTAATAGATCATTACATTATAAGTAATTGTTTTTATGCAAGATATTAATATTAATGAAAAAAAAATCTCATTGTCTTTAAGTTTTAGTCCTAAATCGAATTACATCGTCAACAATACAGTACTCGAACGAAAGATTACTTAAGGTAACTCTCTTGCAAAATTATACGTAACAACATATGTTTTAATTAATGGATTTTGATCCATTTAATTCATTCGTACTTTGTTTATACTCCAAGCCTGCCCTAAATTTCGAGAAATTTTTACTTAAAGTATTAATTTCCAACACATGCCCTTATTGAAGAGTATTAGACAATAATTGACTCATGAATTTCCTAAAGAAAATTGGATTATCTGAGCAAAGCTATTATTAGGTCTTCATAAAAAAATTGTTCTTGTTTTAAATCCCACGTTGCAAAGTTTATGTAGTAAGTCATTTTCTCGAGATATTTTTTAAAAAAGAAAGTGACAATTGTTTCAGCTTCTTATTTTTTGTCACTGATACGCGCTAATTTTTAAAGACGAACATTTCTACTCAACATCCTCACTAGCCTTTTCTTCTACCTCTGGAGACTCTTATCAAGAGTAATAAGATAATTTATTTTAGACTGTATAACAAGTATTCCGTGTATGCAAAGAACGTAAAAATGAACTTCGGCTAGGTGTACATAAATATCTATTTAGGTATGGGTGGTCGACTGCATTTGGACTTAGGCTGCCTAGGCTACACTTGGCTGTACTGGGGTTTCGTTAATATTACTGTTGAACTTTTCATTATTATACGTAGACAAGGGAGCTACCTCAAAAAACTTTTGTCATCTCTTATGTTAAGGTGTCAATATGGATTGCCGTATATAAATTTCATACATTCTAATCATAACACTTCTCACTTTTTCTTTGCGATATTGGGTTATTGCAAAGGTTGGTAAGACTTTCTATAATTTTTCAAAGGTCTTATTATTTGTTTTTTATTCATGTCAAAAATCTAATTAATTATACAATTGACGCTTTGATTGCTATTGTAGAAATTAGCTACTGACTGTATTCACAAGGTTGCCTACTTTATTTACGCTTTACGCAAAAAAATTCGCCATAGTGCACATGAGTAAGAAAATACGCACGTTACTTTATTTTTGCCACAAGCGAGAGCGAAAGAGCATGTGTTTTGCCAACTAACTGCTGGCTGTGATTGGTTTGATAACAATTACGCTCGTATTTTTCACTCACACGTACACGATGACGATTTTTTTTGCAGAAAGCGTAACTTACGTAACTTTCCCCGATCCTGTAATTTTATGCGATGAGCAATACGTTCCATGTATGTGCTTGCATCCTAAGGGACTAATAGGGTCACGCTTTAATAAAATCAAAAATAATTTTTGTCTATAAAACACACCATAGCTCTAAAATTTTAATAAGAAGTTAAAGCAGTCAAATTCTTACCTTTTTTAATATTTTTCCATAGAAGTATCGATTGTACCTGTGCTTGGTTCAATTTGGTTAATAAAATTATTTCGCTGACGCACGAGAAAGCTTTGAAGATTTCCAAATCTACGAAGCTCAATAATTACCAAAAGTTCACCTACAACATAATTTTATTTTTATTAAATAAGTTCTTTTACATGAATATTTCAAACAGTTATTCGTAAGTTATTACGTTTGGCTATATTTTTGGTGCAAGCACCCAGAAGATTTATAACATTTGCGTGTTGTCCTAAATAAACCATTATTTTAAGCTCCTTCGCCATTGCACTAATATACATTAAACCTTCATTTTTGCGAACTGTTTTCACAGCCACAGTTGGAATAGACTCATGAGGAAGAATCCTATAGGTCTCTGCTTTATACACAACTCTAAAAGGAAACTCTCATCTAATATCGTAAGGAAGAAGTTCTGCCTGCTCGTCTATGGTTAACTCTGGGTTTATTAAATCAACTGCTCCTTCTTTAAAATGCGTATAGCCAGCTTCTAATAATTGTTTTTCTTTAAACTTGAAATTATTGTTGATTTGATGATAAAAATATTTTATATCGGAAAGTTTCATTCTTAAAAAACATCTAAAATTTTCTAGTTACCTTCGCATGTTGAGTTTGTAAATAAAAGTACATTAAAAGAGAAAAAAGAATTGTTATAAGCCATATGATCATTGCAATCCACATGTAAAGTTCTCGATGTCCTAAAGTCAAATCCAATTACTTTAACAAATTCAGTAACTATCGTAAGGTTAGCCAGTGTAGACGTGTTTATTAATTGCTAATACTCAACTCTTCGCTATACCGACTTTGCTAATTTCTTCGTCAAACCTCTATGAGGTTTTCTCAATGTTTGCAGGCATTCGGACTCCTGTTGGCTCTAGCTTCTGAGAGCATAAAACTCGGGCGCTCTCCTTTTGAGCCAGGGAGTCTGTGGATGCCTGTTATTGAAATCATTGCAATTCATCCACGTTGGCTTTTCAAACTTCGGATTGCTGCACTACTTCAGGCTGCAAACTTTCATGTTATAATCCTGGCAGCGCTGGAATTATTTGATCTGCACCACTTTGCTGGACCACTACTATTCGCCTGCGTCTCATACCGAAATTAGTGAATGTTTCTCTGAGTGAAAACCAGTGACTGTGCACAAACTTAACTATAATAATAACCTTGGCCTTAGTTCATAATTTAGTGTAATATTATTTAAGCATTTCATTTACTCATTGTTTTAAATCACTTCACTGTATCCATTTCTCTATATTTATTCTCATTTTATCAACATATCCTCCATTTTTCACTACCTTATCAGCATTTTTCTTAGTATTCTTTCTTAATTCTTGATATACTGATTATCACCTGTCTCTGTTCATTTTCGCTTGGCTCAAGGCCAACGTTTCATATTATGTTTTGTCCCTACCATTTAATTTGTATACACACTCTTTCATAGCTTACTATATGTTGTTTACTTTTACATACGTCTTGACCGTTATATTTTAAAATATAAATAAGTGTCTATAACTTTCATGTACTACTACAAACTTTTCCTAATGTCCAATTTTAAGCGTTGTGTAATATTATGCGTAAATATCCGCGCAAATCGTGTCTAGTCTGTCGTCGCGCTACTTTTACAATTGGGCAAAACGAACGCCTTATTTGTTCTATTTGTTGTAAGCCTTATCGTAGAAGGTGTATTGACCCCAGCTGGTTTTCAAATTCTGCATCTAATGTCTTTCACTGCTGCTCTTTAATACCCCTACGTCCCAGTCCCCCCAATTTTATCTCACAGCATCATTCACAAAATTGTAATCTAACAATCCACCACACAAATCTTCCTCACAAGAAAAGCTTGAAGCGTTCAATCCCAATCGACATACTTGACAATAGTTATTCCTTTCCCTCGGCAGCTAAGGCCCCTAGACTTTTTCTCTCTCGTCCGCATTTCGTGTATTTATTGAGCAGTATGAGCGATAACGGTGATCAAGAAAATAATTCGGGCATGATGCTTCTTCGAAGTCTTGTCGAAAATTTCGAGGATTTCCGGAAAGAAAATCATGGCGATATGATAAAACTTCGAGATTACATGAAACAATTTCATAATGATATGAGGGAGTTTCGTGATAATATGACAGAATTCCGTCAGTCATTGTTGTTAGTCAATACACGTATCGATAATCATGAAACTACCTTAAACTCACAAGTAGCCAAGATTAATGACGAATTAATTTCTGCCAATGCAAAATATAATGCGATCTCTGATGCCTCTTTATACAAGGAAACTTCCGAATTAATTATCACTAACATCCCTTCATCAATCAACCTTAGTAATCAAGATATCATCAAAAGCGTTTTTCAAGCAATAGGCTGTCAAGAATTTATTAGTTATGTTACACGTACACGCGATTGGGCACCGAAAGTACAATCTAATCAGAGCAATCAAAGACCATTATCTCGCGCCGTTTACGTTCGCATGAACTCACTGGACATTCGAGATCAAATATTAGAAAATTCTAATAAACTTTCAAAATCTAAATCTTCTACTCTCTTCGGCAATGGAGGTGATACAGCGATATATCTACGACCATTACTCCCTCAGCCTGTTTATAATCTATGGCGTAACGCTATTAAGGTTCACAAATCTATTAATTACTATTT